TATGCCTTTCGCTTCTTCCGTAGGGCTGAATCACCATGGTCAATCAACTCTTTTGGGGTGTGGTTTAGTTTCGAATGAAGATACTAATACATTTGTTTGGATATTTAGAACATGCTTAGAATGCATGAATGACCAAGCTCCTACAGGAATAATTACTGATCAAGATCGAGCAATGGAAAATGCTATTCAAATTGTGTTTTCTAACACTAAACATAGATGGTACTTTTGGCATAAACTAAAGAAATTACCCGAGATGTTCGGCTATCACACTACTAAAGGTTCAATAATGCATACTATACATGTCTTAGTCTATGACACATTAAGTTGTGAAGAATTTGAAGAAGGCTGGTTGAATATGCTTGACCATTTTCAACTACGAGACAATGATTGGTTGAGTGGACTCTATAATGAGAGATGTCGTTGGGTACCATGATACCTGAAAACTACATTCTGGGGTGGTATGTCAACCACACAACGGAGTGAGAGCATGAATGCATTTTTTGATGGCTATGTGCATTCGAAAACATCTTTAAAACTTTTTGTAGAGCAATATGAGCGAGCCTTGAGAAGTAAAGTGGAGAAGGAATTTCAAGCTGATTTTAGATCATTCTCGCAAATGGTTCCATGTGCAACTAAGTATGATATGGAGAAACAATTTCAAGAAGTGTATACTATCACAAAATTTAGGGAGTTCCAACAAGAATTCACGAGAAAGGTTTATTGTGAAGTGTTATCTGCCGAAGACTTCTGGGGGAAAACAAAGTACGAGGTCCGTGAGTATATTACTCTCTGTGAAAGAATGAAGAAAAAAATTTTATAGTTTATTTTTATAGAAACAGTTGCGAGATTGAGTGCAATTGCCATTTGTTTGAATTTCGAGATATCATTTGTAAACACTCAATATCAGTTTTAATTCGTAATGATGTCCAATTGCTTCCCCATAAGTATGTCTTGCGGAGATGGAGGAGAGATGTCAGTGGACCGTACATGCAGGTCCCAATGACATACGATGGTTTGGTGTCCACAGCTGAACAAGTAAGATACGAGAGGTTGTGTATCGCCTTTACAAAGATGGCAGACTTGGTAGCGGCAGACTTGGTATCGGCAAATGATGAACGGTCAAATCGTCTATTGGGGTGGATTGAAGTTTAGACAAATCAATTGTGCAAATCGAATAGTAGTAACTTGGATGCACGTGTACTTGAAGCTCCCAATGACGAATGCTTGCACATTCTAGATCCGAAACTTACAATCACTAGATTGCCCGAAAGTTACAATCACTAGATTGTCCTTCAATTGGAGCTTTAGCTTGATTTCGAGACATCATCACGCTGCTTGATTCCATTCCATCACAACAATCACTAGATTGTCCTTCAAATGACAAGTTTTTCTTCTTACAAAACTTCACGTCATTCCAGTCGAAATACCCACAATCTTTAGTACAACACAAGAATATTCTGCCTATGTTTGCCGTCTTCTTCTCCACCTCCATCATTTTTACAATTCCCTGCTCACAGTTTGGAAATTGTTGTTTCTTTGGACAGTTATGCAGTTGGTGCCCAGGCTATTGACAACTGTGGCAGACACCCCTATTCTTTCCACCCATTGAT